GACATGCTCTAGATATAGATACACCATAGATATTGACACGCTATAAATGGAGGCATGCCGTAGATACTGTCGAAATAGACACCTGTCCATATAGATACGCCATATAGCTGTTGACACCCTGTAGATATAGGCATAAATGTATAAAGAGATTTACTACAAGGAATTGGCTCGTGCCATTTTGGAGGCTGAGCAGTCCCACAGTCTGTAGCTGGCAGGCTGGAGACCCAGGAGAGCTGCTGGTGTGAGCGCTAGTATGGGTCCAAGTCTGAAGGCAGGAGAAGACCGACGTCCCAGTGGGAAGACAGCCAGGCGAAGAAGGAATTCTCCCCTAGTCAGTCAGTGCCTTCTCTTCGGGCTGTCAGTGGACTGGGAAGGGCTGTCGGCTTACACAGTCAGCTGACTCAAATGTGAGTCTCTCCCAGAAACACCTTCCCGAACACACTCAGAATCATATTTGACCGGGTGTCTGGCCTCACCCTATGGGCCCAGTCAAGCTGACGCATAAAAAGAGCCATCAGGGATGGAGTGGAGTGAATAAAAGAGAGAAGATAGGGACTTGATCAGAGAAGATGGAGAGGAAGGTTTTGGTTTCCACTCTGGTGGGACGAAAGCCATTGAGGGTTTTGAGCTGAGCGGTGACATGATCTGACTCAGGTTTTCACAGGATCCCTCTGGCTACCGAGGAAGCCACTGCAGGAACCCAGTGGGCTGGACCTGTGATGGGAAAAGGGGGTGCAGGAAGCAGCTAACGGATCAGAGTGGACTTTGGGAGGAAGCGGGGGCCAGAGATAGCCCTGGGGTTCTGATGCGAGCAACTGGAAGGATAGAATTTTATTTAATGAGGTCAGGACAACCGTGGGAAAGTTGACTGGGGAGGAGATCCAGATTTTAGTTCTGAAAACCTTAAGTTTGAGATGTGTGGCTAATCTCCAGTTGTTGATATCAAGTGGACATTATGGAGATAATGCGAGAGCTTGAAGCCAGAGAGCCATCAGTGTATAGAGTGTTTGAGTCCCTTCAAAGAGACGAGCTCCTTAGGAGTGATGGGAGATGGGGAGGAGAGGAGACGGGAAGATGGGGAGGGACCCAGGGAGGAATCTGAGAAGGTTCCAGAGAAGCAGGAGGAGAAGCAGGAGAGGGTCCAGAGTGTCCCAGAGGTAGGAGGGTGATCCCTTGGGTCAGCGCTGCCCAGGGGGCAAGTAAGAAAAGGTCTGAGAATTGACCACTGGATTTAGCAACGCAGAGGCCTTTGGTATCCTTGACCAGGACAAATTCTGCAGAATACCTGGGGCAAAAGCCTGTTCCTCCCTCCTTCTGCCTCTAGATTACCAACAGCTAACATTTCAGCGTTTTTCAAAGAACCAGAAATTCAGTTTATTTATTTCTTCCTTGCTTTGTTTTCAACTTCATTTCAGTTTTAATATTTCAGTTGCTGTCCTATGCCTTCCTTAAGCTTATTTGGCCTTTTCTAACTTTTTGAGTTGGATAATTAATTCATGTTCTGTTTATCAATATCAATACTTAAAGCTATAAATTTTCCCCTGAACATTGCCTGAGCATCCCAGAAGTTCTGAGATATGGTATTTTTATTTTTATTATCTCTATATTCCAAAATTTTAATTTCTTGGCTCTCCCTTTGACACACAAGTTCTTTTAAGAGTTTTTAAACTTCTTGGTTGTAGCGTTCGTTTTGTTTTGCGGTTTTCATTATAAATATTTTCAGATTCTCGTGTATTAGGATCAGAGAATGTTATCTGATTTTTCAATTTTGGAATGTACTTTCTTTGTGGTGTGATAGTTACTTTCTGTGTGTCCTTTTTCAAGGCCTTTTGAATAGACGGTAGATTCTGTTTAATGCATACACACATGCACCACATGTGCACACACGTGTACACGTACATGCACACAGGCATACACACATGCAAACACATACACGTACACATAGAATGCACACACGCACACTATCTTACTAATTAGGTATTTGGCCCCCATCTTTTTATTTATGTTTTTGTCAACTTAATCTGTAATGGACGGAGAGGTTAATTAAAATGCACGCATACTAGGACACTCTGTCTTTTTCTTCCCACATTTCCAGCCGTTCTTGCTCTGCAACGCAGAGGCTATGTTCTTTGGTGCATAGACGTTCATTACTTTGAGACCCTCGTGGTGACTTTCATCCTGATCCCTGTATGATACCCTTCTTTTTCTCATTCAGTATTTCTTGCCCTGACTTCCACTTTATCTAATATTCAGATCAAGACCCCTGGTTTCTCTTGGTTTGCATTTGTTTGTTTGCTATGTTTCTGCCCCCCCCCCCCTTTTTAAAATTGTGACATTAAGAACATTGATGTTGTTGAAAAACCATCTCCTGTGGCCTTTTCATCATCTGTCCATCCTTTTATGGGAAACCTGTGTGACTCATCGTACCCTCAGTAGATCTCATTTGTAATCTGGTCTGAGCATTTTTTTTTTTTTTAAGCCAGTGTGTGTGGTTCATTAACATTTACTGACATGGCAGATACATTTGGTGTTACTTTTGTCATGGTTTGTGATATGCTTTTTGCTTTTATAGCTTTTGTGGGGGTTGTCAATTTCCACCATATGGTCTCTGTTTTCTTTGTTTTATTTTTTGTGTATGTGTCTTCTGACAATTTGCAAAGCTGTGTTTTTGATCCTGTGGTTATCTTTATAATTCTACTGTGATATGATACCCTTAATTCTCTATTTCTTTAGACAGTGTTTATTTTCTCCTTACATATGAGGAATTCCAAATTAGAATATTTCTATTTTCCTTCCCCTTCTCTCACTTCCACCAAATGACTTTAGTTGATTATATTTTATGATTTTCTTCCCTGTTTACTCTTGTACCTCTAATTTTACTTAAACCTTTGAACGATTCTTGAGATGCCTAAATGTAAGTGAGGAAGACATAGTTTACATAAATTCCCTCCCCCTTCTCACCTCTACCCTCCCATCTCTTGTTATTTACCCCAGTTCTCTGTTTTCTCTTTCTTTCTTGCCTATAATAGTCCTAATCTGTGGATCTGTTTCAGACAGTCCTACATTTCAGTGGATTCTCACTGTTGGTACCATTGCCAGACTCACCCCATTTGGCCTTGGTTATCCCAAGTGTGTCCTCTAGTAATTTATGTAAGAAGGACTCCCAGAAACTGTATTCCAAAAATAGGTTCAAAAAGTGTTTCTGTGGATGTTAAACTTGAAAGATGGTCCATCTGGGTTTTAAATTCTTGGTTCATTCATTCATTCAACAAATATTCATGAAACTATGTTCCAGAACCTGCCTATGTTCCTGTTTCAGACCCTGGCAATACAGATGTGAACACGACACACCGACACTGTGGCCTCTTGTAGCTTACTTTCTGGGTGGGGGAGAAAAACAATAAATTAGAACAGTCAGTGAAATCTGTGGTGTGCTGAATAGGTTGGATGCTATGGAGGAAGATAAAGCAGGTAGTGGGGGATCACTGGACCTGGCTTTGTCATGAAAGCCATGGAAAAGGCTCTATGGCATCCCAACCCTGAGCCCATCACACGTTTCTGCTGATGGAGCAGGGAGACTGGCTCTGCTTCTTGGACTCTCAGCTACTCTGGAAAGAAGGGCTGTGCGGGCTTTGTCAGAGCCACTCCCTCCACTCTCCCCTGCCCCCACCCCCTCCCAACATCCCCTGGAGCTTGGTTGAAGATGGTTTATTGGTTAAGAGCTATAATCAGAAGTCCAGCTGCACTGATACAGAGGGGAGCATCAGGGGCCCCCACCAGAACCAGGCGTCTTCCTGCTTTCCACTTTACCTGCATTAGTGAGTGTCCCTCCTTCTTGTACTCTTATCTGGATTCATGTCCCTTTCCCAGAGGACTTCCACTTACACAGGACAGGTCATGGGACCACCCATCTGCAAGGATGCCTAGAAAGATAAGTGTTTGTGACTGGACAGTTGCCCTGATAATTGGATAGGAGACAGGGGATTCATAGCGCCATCTTGACTCTGCCAACCAAAGCTGTACATGCCCCATGGGCCAGTGTTTACCCTCCTGACCCTACCCATTGGTCTCCCGGTCTATTCCTGTGCCAGGAGCATCCTGGTTTCTTCTCCATGGCTTTGTAGGACACAGTCACATCCAGTGATGTGATTCCAAGATTTGTAATGGTTTTAATTATAATTATGAATGGTGTCTGTGTCTGTTCTTAATATTTTTGAGAGTTTTTTTAAAAAGATTTTATTTATTTGAGACAGAGAGAGTGGGCTTATGTGGGCACACATGAGCAGAGGGAAGGGGCAGAGGGAAAGGCGCAAGCAGACTCCCTGCTGAGCACAGCCTGTAGTGGGGCTCAGTCCCAGCACTGTGAGATCATGTCCTGAACTGAAGTCTGACACTTAACCAACTGAGCCACCCAGGTGCCCCAATATTTTCTAGTTTTTATTACGAAGGGTGACCATATAGTTTATCATCCAAATCAAAACACTTATGGCATGAAAAAGGAACAATATTAAAAATTACATCAGAACAACAGGTGTTAACTGGGATGACCCAAGCTAAGACACATAATCACTCTGGTAACTGTTGAGATAGATGAATATTGTTGGTTTTATACATTAAACTGCTAATCTCATGGATTGAAGACCATATCACTGTATCTGCACTGTGTTCTAGGAATTAGCCTGTTGATTCTCTTGGATTTTCTGTGCATATTATCTGCCATTAATTGTAACTCAAGTTCTTTTATTCACTCCTAAGATGCTATGCTTTATTTTCTTGTCTTATTACATGGGCCACGAGTGCCAGTACTGAATGAAGCCATAGTGGAGGCAGGCTTGCTTGTCTTGCTTCCAGTTTTAACATCAAATAGTTCTCTGTATCCAGAAGTCATGCAGTCAGAGAAAACCTAACTTCTCTGGGCACTGAGTCCTGAGAGAAGTGTCCTCAGTGATTCCCCACAGAGGAGACACTGTATGATATTTTGTTTCCTTCTGCTTCCTCAGAAAACCCTTTTGCTGTGCCTCAGGATGGGGGAGGTGAGACCCGAAGCACGCGGCACAGCCTCCAAGGAGACCAACGTCAACAGAGACCCCAGGGAGAGCCGAGGTGGCTGCGGCGGTGGCAGAGGAAGAAATGCCACCTGTGCCCACAACCCCCTTCCATGGACTTCTAAGACTAGGAGCAAACTCAGGGGTGGGGGCCAGGGGTTCTAACGGAGGGAGGTCTTGAGCCACCCGTCTGCAAGCAATAGTCCCATTCTGGACTGGTGGCTTCTGAGAGGGGACGCCATTGTGGACTCAGGATGACCAGCACAAAGCTGCTCCAGCTGATTCAAGCTGCAGGGATTAGGCCTGTGCACCGTACCTGTGGGCCCCTTGCCTCCAGTCCCTCCAGTTGTGGCCTGTGGGCCTTTGTCAGAATACTGAATGTGAGTGTGTGTGTGTGTGTGTGTGTGCATAAGTGTGTGTTTGGAGGTGTGACTTGGGGTGTTCTTTTTGTTTGGTTGCGTGTTGGTTTCTATTGGAATCCCTGCGAGTCCTCTAACGGGCACAGGTCACCAGTGGTGGGGGCCCTGGTCAGCGTCCCCGTTCAAACTTCTTGCTGTAGCGGGCAGCTGTGAACCCCCTGGAGTCACCAACATGAGGCATGGTCCCGCTATGTTTCAGAGGACATGGGGATTTGAAAATGCTAGTAAGGGTTTGTTCTTATGGAATTTACTCCCCTAACTATGTAATAATAAGTGATGAGGCTTCTCGGGCCATCCACGGGACAGGCACGGGGCCGCGTGTCTCCATGCACTCCCTCTCTCACTGCCCGGGAGGGGGTGTGGTGAGCCCCCTGCAGAAATGGCTCTGAGCAGGGGAGGTGCCCAGGGTCACACAGCCAAGAGGAGACCAGACACTCTGTTTGATCTTAGGGGTGTAGGAACCAAAAGTCCACACTCCCCAGCCCAGGGGACCCCCAGCACAATCCCTGGGACATCTCCCCACTTGCCTCTCAGTGGACTGACTGTTGCCCCAACTTCTCCACCATCACTGCCCTGAAACCCTCATCCACACAGCACATTCTGTTAAGCACTTGCTGTGTGTCAGACCCCAGGCTGGGCAGTGATGGGACCTGGCCATGAGTCAGGCAGGCCGGGTCCCTGCCCTGGAGGGAGGCCACCATCTGGTGGGATAGATACACAGATCTGAGCTGAACACAGTGTCGAGGGCTGTGGAAGCCCCAAGGGAAGTTTCTAGAAACCATTCCACTTTAGATTTCTGCATAAACCCGGATGCCTATAACATCCATCCCCAGAGGTCCCCACCACCACCCACCCCACTGGCCGAGAGCACACACATGGAAGGGCATTGCCCGGGAAACCTTCACATAAATCCCCAAGGACCACAAGGCCAGTGTAGACACACCTATTCTACTGGGGGAGATTCCAGATCTCCCCCAGCTCTTAGCGCAGTGGACCCTGCTCAGCAAACGTGTGTCCCTCTGATGACGTGCCCGCACTCAGCCGGACTCTTGCACGCATGCTGTCTGCCCTCAGACACACCGGTGAGCCGGTGGTGCTCGTGGTGCTGGTCGGCGAGCTGGGGAGCGAGGGCCGGCGAAAAGTGAATCGTGCGTGAATAAGGGCGCTGCGCGCTGGGCGGACAACGGAGTCAGAACTGTCTGTTCGTGAGGGGCTCGTCGAGGCTGGCTGTCTGGGAATGCCTTTCTGAGCAGGTGACAGTGAAGCCCGGGTCTGAATGATAAGCGAGAGCCAACCACGGGCATTAAAGACGGGGTTGGGGGGTGGGGGGAGAGCATCCCAGCACGAAGGCCCTCGGGCAGCAGCATGCTTGATGCTTTCAAAGACCCAAAGAAATCCAGGATGGCTGGAACCGGCAGGAGGGCAGAGGGGTTGAGGGGGAGGGAGTCCAGGCTCTCCGCAAGGCGTATAGACACAACACCCCATCCTTTGATAAGGCATTTTCCAGCTCCATAAGGAAAGGACTCTCCCCGTTTCGTGGACTAGGAATCTGAGACTCAGGTAGGTCCGTGACCTGCCGAAACTCACCAGGCAGGCTGGGGCAGAGCAAACCCATGGTTTCCCCACATCTCCCCAGACAGGGGTGCCCAAGTGTATGGCTTGGCAGTGGCAGAGGGAAACTTCATTTGGGGTGTTGAGTAGGGATGGGCACATCTTCCTTTTCCTGGATGCTATGGGCAGCCCTGGAGAGGGGCTCAGCTCCCTCCGGCCCAGGGGGATCAACCCTCCCCTGCATCAGATGTGCAGAGCCTCGGGAATCGGGGGAACCCAAGGTTCGGGGGGTTACAAGACCCAGATTCTGACGTCAGCTCTGCACTCAGAGCAGTGTGACCTTGGGCCAGGCCTGTGCCTTCTCCGCCCTCAGTTTCCCCCTCAGTAAGAGGAAGGAGTCAGACCAGGTCTTGGGGGGCTGACATCTCTGGCCTCCTGTGGTCCTGGGCGACGCTCACGCAGCTGCTTACAGAGTTCCTTCCTTGGGCGGGAAAGAGCTGGCTGCCTCCCTGGCCGGGGGGCCTGAGCCAGAGGCTGCTCTCACCCAGGCTAGCCAGGGCTAGGACCCACCTGGTCCGCAGCCCCGAGAATTATAGCTGGCTTCTGGCCCCCTCCCGCAGTCTTTTCGGGAGTGATCGGTAACCCTGTAGGGCTTGGGATGGAACATTCTGTTGGAATGGAGGCCTCCCACGTGTAGCTCAGCACACATCACAGGCGGGGGCGTGGGAGGGAGGAAACAACAGTCCCTACCTCTGAGTGGCTGAGGGGTGAGATGGGGCGCAGGGCCTGAGCGCCCCAAGTGGAGGGCACGGCTGCGGGGAAGGCACGTGTGAGCAGGGCTGTCCCCCCACAATGCCCAGGGCTCCTCAAAACCCCACAGGAGCCCGTTTCTTCCCAGCAAAAACCCGCCCGCCCCTCTCCCTACTGTGGCAGGCCACCGTGCCAATCGGTAGTGTCCCCGAGAATAAGACACGGGGTAGTGATAAGTTCAAGTAGAGATTTTCAGAGTTAGTGTTTTTAGTGACTTCCAAACCCAGTCTTTCAAGCTGCCTCTGTTTACTTTCTACTGTGAGCTTCTGGCTATCCCCACGTCATTTGTAACCGTAACAATAATCCTAGTACAAAAAGAGAAATAAAAAGCAGAGAAAGAAGAAGACAACGTACCTTCCCGGGGAATCTGTGCCCGACGCCGGTCTGTGTCGTGACTCCTGCTTGCAAGGCCTCTTCCCGCTGGGAACGGTGTGTCATGGACACATGGCGTCTGCTTTTCCTCTCGCTTGTGTATGGTGTGATCTGTGTGTTTTGGAACCGATTCAGAACCAATACCCAGGCCCTCGGCCCTCACCTTAACCTCCGAAGTCACCCTGAGCCTCAGTCAGGGAGCGGCCCACCCCTGCTGACGGGCCCGGAGCTGCCAGCCGCCAGGGGCACGTCTGACACTGACCGGGACCGGTAGGAAACAGCCTTAGTCGAAAACACACACACAGGAACACACATGTGCCCACACACACACACCTACACACGTGCACACACGCGGGGGCATCCAGGCCCTCTTGTGGTCTCTGATACCTAAGAAAAATGGGCCAGGGCTAGCAAGGGTGGGTGGTCCTTCCCTTCATCCTGCAAAATAGCATTCAGGGAAATGTGGCCCCAGGGCTGGAAAGGACTGGGAAGGGGGTGGGGGATGGGATCAGGGACAACACGGTGAGGAATGTGGGATAACAGCCTTCTGCCAAGAGACACTTCCAGGCTCACCATCAAATCCAAAGCTCTCTCTAGGTCATTTCAGTCTCAGCGAGACTGTAGGAGTGGCTATGCCTGGCATCATCTCCCGCGCGGACCCCCAGACCCTCGTCTGCACCAGGTCGGTGTCCTGACCCTCTGCCTTTCCTCCAGCCCAGGCCCTGTCCGCCGGCTCAGCTGACCCCCCCATCCACTGTGTCTACTAGAGTCTCCTAGATCCCTCAACAACCCAAATCCACGTGATAGCCCCAAGTGATGTCATTGGGGGCACTTCTTGTCCGTGGTAAGGGGCAGCCTTGTCATCACAGGGAGCCGCTATGCCTCCCCGCCCCCGTCGTCTGCTATGGGAACTTGAGGTTGGAGTCATAGAAGGGACTTTCAGGAGTTCTTGACCTTACCGCTTACCTGGTGAGTATCAGATGGGGTCTAGGTGCTCCCCATAAACCAACTGCAAGGTCGGGGGTGGGCAGCCAGCCCCCCCGGGGAGCGGTGACACCGTGCTCACTGCCACCTACAGCCCCAGAGCCCATCACCAGCCCAGGCTGGGGCAATGCCATTTACCCTGCAGCACACGGAAACCACACACCTGCTGTGCAACCGATGCCCCACGAGGCTCCCAGCCTGCCTTGCAACACACCCAGCCGCACATGGCAGTCAAGGGGACGGACACAACCTTGGGGTCCGTGGCCTGAAAAATAGATGTTGAAGTTGAGCAGTCAGGCGCGAGAGATAGAAGATTCTAGAAAATCCATTTGCTCATGCATGCATTCCTTCATCTGTTCAACAAATATTTGTCCATCTCTGAACCCAGCGCGCACCTGGGAGCAATTCCTGCCGAACATGGAGATGTCGGGGAACATGCGCATGTCCGTGGGAGAGGCTGGGATCCCCCGAGAAGTGATTAGTTGTCCCCAACATTTAGGAACGCCCAGATCCACAAAGCAAACAGCTTGCCCCTCTGTGAGAGTGACCCGGGGGTGGCATTGTCCTTACCCCTCAAGTGCTCAGTACCAGACCCTGCCAGATAGTTGGTGCTCGAGAGATGCTTGGTGAGTGAGCTGCTCTGACCCTTAGTCACACTGTCCCTCCTTTACATCTTTACATCAAAACCCTGATGCGTTTGCCCTTGACAGAGTGACATTCAGGACTGCGGCAGGGCCCACCCCCAGCGGTACCATTCACAATGCTGTCACCAAAATGGTCCTGGGTCCCCAGGAACAGTGTCTCTACGGACCACATTGGAACAGCAACCCCCGGGCTGGTGCAGTGAGGTCCCGTGGATTGCCCTACACTGCCCTCCAAAATGTGCAGGAGCCGATGGAAGTTGATAAACAGGCCGGGGGGTGGGGCGGGGGACGTGGATCCCTGGGGCACATGGTTGCAAGTCGCGGATGGCACCGCCACCATGGGCGTCCAGTGGGACCAAACTGGTGACCTGAGCAAATGTCTTCTTGGAGCCCCGCCTGGGCTCTCGTGTGCGTTCTTTCTGTTTCTCCCCCTTCTGTATGTTCAAGCTGGTGGGATGCAGATCGGCAAGCCGTCAGTCTGGGTCAGGTGCAATAACTAAGTGGGGTGCCGAAGGGGAAGGGCTCAGTCGCCCCAACAAGGCAGGACCGCCACCCCCCCGGCTGGTGTGTCCACCCCAGGGTCCGCCACACTAGGGCACACAGGTGAGGGTGGGATAGGGCGGTCCCTCTCTCCTGCGCACCCCGACTTCCCGTGAGTAGGCACAGGGTCTCCCTGAGAGCTGATAACCGGGAAAACCAAAAACCAACAATATTCCTGATAATAATAATGTAATAACAATAATAATAATGTATTTTACACTGCGCTACGCTGCTTTTGTCTTTATATACAGTAGTTTTTATAAAGATGCCCTTAGGTTTTAATAAAGGAGTGTCATGTCAACTCTTCCCAGTGTTAAAACTTGCTTTCACGTTTCCAAACACACTGGCCGGATCCTGCCCTCACGATGTGTCACTTTTGGCCACGGAGGCTGGGAGAGGAGGGTCCAAGGTCTCGGCTGAGGTCTTGTCCAGTGTGGCACTAGGGGTCCAGCCTGACTTCAGTCCCAAGGGCAGATGGAGAGACCAGACAGGGACCACCTCCCCAGGGACAAGAGCAGGTGGGAAAGGGGACAGAGTCGTGTGGTCCACTGGGGAGATGGCAAGAGCTGTGAGCGGGCAGGCGGGCGGGCTGGGGACAGTTGCTGCACATTGTCATCTCCTTAAACACTGTGCCGGGCTGGTGAAGCAGGGGCCGCTCTTCCCGGACGGGTGGATTCCCATCCCTGGCTCAGACAGTGGTCCTAAATGACTGAGCCCCATCCTGTAGGTTCTCAGAGGAGGACCAGACCTCTGCTCTCCAGGAGGGACAGACACACTTGTTGGGCAAATCAGGGTTTTGTGCCTCCCCTACCTGCCACCCACAGGGGCCACGTTGGACCCTCTTTCCTCCCAAGTCTCAGCCCCTTGAACAATTCGGCCACAGCAGTGTTGCCCCAAAAGGGCTGGGGCCGCATCCAGTTCCATTCAAAACTCCAGTGTCAAACACCATTCTGCGTTCTGCCTCCCACACCACCCCTCCAGACTGGAGTCCCATCCCAGGGCCCAGGGGGCAGAGGAGGACTCAGTGCACCCTTCCCATCCCCGGGGCAGCCAGCATGGAGCAGAGGAAAAGGCCAGGAAAGGCAGGGGGAAGGAGCTGGTTTGGTGTCACCATTCTTGCTGCCATAGGCAAGTTCTGCAGACTTGTCCTTGGGTCACATGGAGGCTTCCTTGGGAGAACCATGTGGGGT